CTGGGAACACAAAAATTAACAGGAGGGAATACAAAATTTTAACCCATGCAATTTGTTGATTGACCAATTAAAATCGCGAATTTGATAATGTAGAAATAAATATGGGTTTGATTCATTTTGTCAACAATCACTTCACCAACAATTGTTTCATTGACGAATTTAAGAAGTTGGAAGAAATAGTCTAATAAATTAAATTGTACTACACAGTGAGTCTCGATTTAACGGATATTTTTTTCCAGAAAATTTATCTGTTAAATCGAGAGATCCGCTAAATCGAAACTTATGATCAAATCATGTGATACAAATTAAATGTGTACAAAAAAATTTTTTTATTTTGTATATACATAAAACACAGAATATAACATAATAATAATAATAATATCATTGTCAACTCATAAATTCATCAATGCAACATTATTTTGCTTCTTGGGTGCTTCTATAAGAAATTTTCTCTTTTTAACTTCAATATATATTTATATATTTTTAATTATTTGAAGATCAACTTCTAAATATTTTTGTTGTATATATTTAAGTGCATTTTCAACTATTTATAGCTTCTGTATTTGTTACAATTGGCTTGCTTATCTTATCAACACCCTCATTATCTTCAACTTCAGATTTCTCCAACACTATGTTTACAATTTCTTGTTCCGTCATTTCATAATAAATTTGTCAGCATTTAAGGAAATAAAAAAAATGACATTATATACAAGTGTCATTGCCAAGAAATATTTAACAATATGTTCGATTAAAATGTTGTTAATATTTAATATTAATAATACATCATTATGCTTATTTATTATACGCTTATTATTATAAAATTAGGCTATCCAAAAAAGGCAAGAATCATCATTATCCATAATATCAAGAGAATTTTATAAGTGACATATATGGATTTTTAAAAAATATCCACTAAATCGAATATATATGAAAATCTGTTAAATCCGTTAAATCAAGATAAAATAATTATAGAAAAATTTGGTTTTGAAAATTTATCCGTTAAACCCCTAAATTCGCTAAATTGAGGTCCGTTAAATCGAGACCCACTGTGTAATAATATTTCTAAGATTAAATATTTTTTTGAATCAATTCCACATTACCAATGCCTTAAATCTATTATTTATATAAAATATAGATGGCATTACAGTTTACAGAATGGTGACATGTTTATGTATTGTTAA